AGTTTTACAGGCAACTGTCATTTTTTTTCCAAAGTAATGCACAGTGAAGTTATGTGAGTAATTTATTTTAAACTATAGCAGAAAATGTATTTGACTGAAAAGATACATCTGTGTTTGTCTTTAAATGGTCTCAAAAAGTATATGTGTGTTGTGGGGGGAGGAGGATGAAGGGAAAATGAAAAGAGAATGAACAGCAAGCTGCTGACACTTGCTGAAGCTGCGTGTTAAGCACAGGGATGTCCACTGCATTACTTTCTGTACATTTATGTATACTGGACCTTCTTCTAATAGCCCTTAACCTACAAAGTAGTTAAAGCAAATGTACTGCAACACGATGACAACTTTTTAAGCCTAAATGATGGCTGTGGGTGTTCATTCTGCTATTCCTCCTTTGCTGTACATTTGAAATTTTTATAGTTAAAGGGTTAAATACAAATCCCAAGAAAGAAGGGAGGTCACCTCTATCCAATGCTCCAGACAGTCAAGTTCACATGAGGCCTGAGCTGTGCCCACTGTAGAAGCAGGATGTCACTGAGAACAGGGTGATCAGACCAGAGTGAGTGGTGGGTGGGAAGAGGGAAAGTGGAAGTAAGTGTAGATGGCAGTTTTCAGACCTCTGGGGTAGGGGAGCAAAAGATGGGCTGACGAGGAGGGACTGATTTGTTTCTTGAACAGGGACGTTTATTTTTTGTTAGGATGGAGTGACTTGAGTACAGTCCTTGAGATCTGATAGGGAGCCTTTAGGGGTAGGGATGGTGGAAAACAATGCAGAGTGGTAGTCTTCAGATTTTCCTGCAGCAAAGAAACACCTGGTTGCTTGTTAAAACACAGATCAAATTCCCAGGACCCACCCCACAGATAACAGAGTAGATTTGGCCTAGGAAGCTGCATGTAGCCAGCATTTCAGGAGACCATGACGCAGGGGGTGGTGGACACCAACAGCTGGAGAAACCTGTGGCTGAGGGAGGGTGTGGATTGATAGCACATGGCTTCTGAGAAGTCAGAGAGATGGGGCACATCTCAGCAGGCTGGGAACACAACAGTAGATCTGGTCGGGGGAGGCCAAAATAATTTCATTGTTTACAATTAAATGTCTCTTTGTGTAATCTTTTAAAAGTGCAACCCAGCACAATCTCCTTCGATTTTACCCCCTTATATCTCCCAGACAGGTCCCTTCTCTCCACGTCCAGTGCTCGCCACAATCAACTTCTCCCTGGTCTATTCCACCAGCCTCCTAACCAGTCTCCCTTGCCTCCATTCTTTCTTGCCACTTCCAACTTATCCCCTCATTGTCTCCAGAAGGAACTTAAAACACATACACACATCCCACAAATCCAATCACACCAATCCGTTCATTTAGGCTTTCCATTGTTCTTCAAATAATGGTGGTCTATAAGGCCCTGCAGGGTGTGGCTCCTAAGAGAAAAGCACCTGTCTCATCTCTTGTCCTGCCCCCCAGCCGCAATGGTTCTCTTTGGCCTAAACATGGAGAGTGTCTCTGCCTCTCCTGCCTCAGGACCTTTGTATATGCTTTTCTCTGATCCCACTCCCTGCACCTACATTTACTCATCCTCTGGAGGGGGGGACTGTTTCCTTCAGAAAGTCTTCTTTACCTCCGACTTACCTCACCAATTGTGCTCAAACAAATACGGACTCATTTGTGGTTATCAACTGTCTCCCCTGCTGGCTGTAAGTTCTATTAGAGTGGACAGGATCTATGTCTCTTTATTGGCCAATACACTTTCAGCCTGACAAAGGGCTGGGCAAAATTATTTAACAGAATTATCCCAAATTGGGTTTTAAGAATAAAAATGGCTAAAATTCTGGAGCCCCATAAGAACTTGTCACCATTTCCTCTCCTTGCCTTCCCAAATTGGATTTTTCCAGAACAGTGCTTCCAATGCAAAAGAATCTCATCCTGTAGATAAGGCTCTAATGTCTGCCACCTGCTTATCATTCATTCACTTACTTGAACATGTATTAAGTCCTGTCAAAAGGCTATGCACAAATACAAATAAAACCAAGTGTCTGCACCTAAAATATTGCCACTCTGGTAGAGAAGCTAGAACGCGTTACTTAATTTCCTGCTTAAAAACAAAAATGCCATGCTTTAACACAGGTCCTAGAAGAAGACTGGGTTCCAGTCCTGGCCCCACTGCTTACTACCTGTGTAACTTGGTCATCTAACTTCTCTGTGTCTTAGTTTCCTCATCAGTAAGATGGAGTTAAAATAATGATACCTACCTCATGGGGCTGTCAGACTTAAACAACCTGATACACATAAAGTACTTAGCAGAGTGTCTAGTACATAGGAAGGCTCAATATCTTTGAGCAAAAATAACATAACCTCTACAGCAAGGCTTACACCTCTACCCCTTCCTGTCAGCACAGCACAGGTAAGGGTGGGCTAGCCATACAGGTCGTGACTATCCCGTACTCAGCGCTTACACTCATTTCAAACTTTACAGGTTTGTAAACAAAGTTAAGACTCCATATGATAAATGGGACTCCTGTGACAATGAGATCATCATTTTCAGCACTCTCCTATTTAACAAGCCCATGTAGGCAACAGATATTTTCAAAAGTAATACAAGTTAGTATTTTTGAAAGTACACTCTGATAAACACTAAATTACATGACTACCTATGTCAACTGACATCTTTTCTCCACAAAAACAGTTTAAATCACTGTTATTTCCTACTGACTTTACTGATTTTTAACTAAATTTTTGCAATTTTTTCACATTGTACAGGCACAATGATAAGAGATAAGAATTAAGCAACAAATTCAACCCATTTCTAAAAATTGCCACAAGGCATCTGTCCATCTCAGAAGTGTTAAGGGCTGACATTTCATGTATCAAAGAAAGTTTTGCTCCTGGGCATATATCCAAAAGGAACCCTACTTCAAAAAGACACCTGCACCCCAATGTTCATAGCAGCACTATTTACAATAGCCAAGACATGGAAACAGCCTAAATGTCCATCAACAGATGACTGGATAAAGAAGAGGTGGTATATTTATA